CTCCCAGAAAATAGGAACTGTGTGGTTAGGTTTGCATTTTTAATTTACTTTTATTTTTTAATATTTTTGAGACAAAGCTTATACAACATGAAATCTTCCACTTTAAACAAAGTGTGTGTGTGTTTGTGTGTGTGTGTGTGTGTGTGTGTGTGTGTGTGTGTGTTGGGGTATGTGTGTGTGTGTGTGTTGGGGTGTGTGTGTGTGTTGGGGTGTGTGGAGGACGGAGGACAATCTTGAGTGTCTTTCTTCAGGTACAATCTACCTTTTGTTTTGTTTGTTTGCTTTGAGTCCATGGTTTCTCACTGGCCTAAAACAATCCAAGTAGCTTAGCTAACAATCCCCAGGGACCTACATGCCTCTGCCGCTGAGAAAAGAGGCAAATGCCACCATGCCCAGCATTTTTACATGCATTCTGGTGGCCTGAGCCAGGTCTTCACGCTTGTGCAGAGAGCACTTTTTTAGTTGAGCCACCTCCCAAGCCTCAAATCAGTGTGTGTGTGTGTGTGTGTGTGTGTGTGTGTGTAAGCATATTTAAATATACAATCATCAATACAATGTAGATTCCACAATATTCCCATCAGCCCACAAAGAAACTCCATGCCTCTGAGAGCAACTCATGATGTCTTTCCCTAAAGCCTTGGGAACCTAATCTATTTTCTGTCTCTATGGTTATGGCTGAGTATGAACATTTAAATGGCTTCTAGACAGATGCCATGGCAACATTCCCACATGCTCTGGGACCAGCAGCAAGAGGGCACAAGGGCAGAGTCGGGTGGCCCAGCGGGAGGTGATGGCTGCAGTGCCAGCAGATAGGCATCTGTGCCCGAGAACAGCCCAGGAACAATGCTGGCAGGAACACTCCACCAAGCAGCTACCCCAGTACGGTGGCATACTTATCCCCAGGGAGAGTCGGGGTGAAACAATGATTCACCCAGGGTCTGAAATGTAAAGACATCATTTACCTCCTCCACTTCCTGAGCTTGTGACCACTGCAGCCAGGTCAAAAGACAGGAGGTAACTAAGTCCTGCCCAGTGGCCACCACACCAGGAGGCGCGATGGAGGAGTCTCCCCTGCCTCCTAGAGCAGAGTCCTAGGTCTCGCAGCACCTGAGAAGCACATCCATGCAATTCTGGATTGTGTGCATTGGCCTCACTTGTCATCCTTAGTGGACAAAGCTATTCCCTGCAGATCTTGTTTCAACAGAATTCTCCATCGCAGGGCTGACAGCCCGCTCATCCGGGCTCGAGCAAGGCAGTGTTTAGATGGAAGCCGGCCATGCGTGTCTGTCGTTTGGATGATTAGCCCCTCTGACAGTGGTGCATGCCTCTTTGAAAGTCTGGCTCTTCTTACGAGTGCCTGACTTCTCACCATGAAATCATTTTCCTGTTCCTCTCAAGGGCAGAGAAGGGCGAATGTCCTCACAGCGTGTGAACTACAGGCTCACAGAAGAATCTGTGTCAATACACTGCAGACGCCTGGTGACCTCTGTGCAGCACAGACTGAAAGACGGGAGTCTCGGAATAGACTTCTCTGTACCCGGGAGCTGGTGGGGCAACTCCTCTTCCGAGCGACTGTGTAGCTTTCTAAACTCCAGAGAAGGGCCAGTCGCTCTGACTATAAATGAAGCAGCCACTTAGCCTAAGAAGAGCAAGGCCAAAGCCAATGGATACCTGGCTAGAAAAGCCACTCCACAGGGAACTGTGAGACAATTTACACCTGGGAAGCAACGGTAGTATTGGGACAAAAGGCTGGGTCTGTCTGGAAATCTGGCTCCTCTGCTCCTCCATCTAGGAGCCAAATAACCTTTTTCGACTGTTCAGACGTCTTGTCAATTCACAACAGAAGCATTGTGGAGTGTGTGGTAAAGTCATGGGTAAAAGTGAAGAGATGGAATGGTGGGTAAAGAACTCAAGGACCTGAGTTAGGACTCCCAGGACACATATAAAATTCTGGGTGTGACTGTATACCTCTGGAACCCCAGAGGTGGGGAGGCAGAGACAGGCAGAACCCTGGGCTCTCTGATGGAGAAGCCACATCCACACCCTGGACGCTCAGTGTGTTTATTACATATAGCAGAACAGGAAGTGGGGCTATTAAATACAGGTGAACAAAGAGGTAGGTTTAGCTAACGTTTAGAACAGTCTCTGTAAGAGGCCAGTCTTTAGACTGTAAACAAACATGGGGAAATAGCTAGGTTGGACGTTTTCTGCACACACTGTCAACACTCACACTAGGATCCAAAGAAGGCTTTGCTGTCCTCCTGAGCCTCTGCTGGGGAAGGCTTTGCCATTCCCATTGGTCTGAGGCATGTGGCTCCTTGACATGGTTGGGCTCATGTCAACAGCACATGCTCACTCAGGACTTGCCTTGCTCTCTCTAGCTCACAGGGAGAGAAGGGATGAAAGTGCTACGGACCTGACGGAGGGAGAAGCATGGTCGGGTTCAGGGCTGGATCTTGAGGATGTCTTCAAGAAGAGAAGCTAAGGAACATCAGATGCTCATTTCTGCCTTTTATGCATTGCAGTATCATGTGCTGATAACGTCAAAGCCATCCCTGGGATGAATATGTTATTAAGAGCCAGGACCTGTGCTGAGGTAGTGGGACCGAGAGAGTGACAGGATGCAAAGATTCAATGTCAAATCCTCATGAGGAATTCTCTGTGCTGTGGAGGAGCTGGACCAGCGATGGCAAGACAACACAGTAGTGCCTGCAAAGGGCAGTCTGAGGGGGAGAAGAGAGTGATTCACTCTGTAATGGCGTTAGTGCAGTGCTTCTCAACCTGTGGGTCATGACCTCTTTGGGGGTCACCTATCAGATAGCTTGCATATTAAATACTTACATTATGATTTATCATGAAGTAGCGATGAAACAATTTTTTGGTTGGGGGGGGGCGTCACCACAGCATGAGGAACTGTATCAAAGGACCACAGCATTAGGAGACTTGAGAAGCACTGCTTTAGACGCTCCCCTAGAACAGAGGGTGGTCACATGCAAACAGGTCTATTGAGAAACTGTTATTCAGAAGGTGATGGGCCAACACACCACAGGGACAACATTGTATACCGATAGTCAGGACACAAGGCCAGAGTCTGGGGGGAAAATGAAACAACACAGGAGTTACCCACAAGATCTTTGCTAAATCCTCTCTGAGACTTCCATGAAGAGACGCGAGGCTCCTACTAGGTAGAGGGTCTAATCTAAAAACTTACCCCTTTGCCATGAGGGTTTGCTTTTTGAAGAGTTTTCCACAGTCAATACAATTACAAGTAAATCACACCACTGCCCTTGAGCTAGCTGCCGATTTCTGCCCTTCCTCCCTGTCCTGGATACTCTCTGTCCCTAGCACACCATCGGCAGGCTGTTTAAGAAGCTCCTGGAATTTACTACTGGAAGAAGGCACTTGGTACAGAGGAGAAGTGCTTTAAACCTGACCAGAACCAATTAATTCAGAGAGACCGTGGATCCTGGGCAACGGCTGTAGACTTGCACCATCCAGTGATGTCCAAACGGTGACGTGCAGTTGCCTGGAGACAGACACAGTTCTGAGAAGGCTCTACAGTAGGAGGGTGAGTTGCACAGGGTTGGGGAATCCTCAGAGCATGCCTACTGCTAGGCAGGAATCTGTGGACATCAGGCTGCCTGGTGAAATGACTAGTTAACTAGATCAACTTTCACACACTGGGGCTGTTAGGATGTGCGCGGTGTACAAGGGACCTGAGTCAAGTCAACAGAGGCACCATGAACAGCAAACAGGCTTAGGACTCTCATATCTAAGAGAAGTGATCCCAATAAGTTAAGATATGCAAAATGATCCAATGTATATAAATGTTGTATGTATGGAAATGGATTGGTGAGCAAAAGTATTACGGATGTAAATGAGTTGGCCTATGGAACTGTACTCTGCGTATAGCAATAAGTGATTGTATAATAATGTCTTATACACTAAATTAGTGAGTTGTATAGTTGTGTATGTAAACCATTGGTGTGTAAAAACATGCATATGTAATAAGTTGATGTATGTAGATATGTTTTTATGTGTAAATTTATTGATTATGTAAATCTACCGTATAGAATGAGTTAGTTGTGTGTAAATGTATTGTGTGTGTAAATGGGATGCTAGTATAGCTGTATTATGTATGTAAATGGTTGGTGTGGAAAGAATACATATATAAATAAGTTTGGGACCTTTAAATCTTCTCTATGTGTAAATTCACTGATGTATAGAAATGAAATGAGTTAGTGTGTAAATGTATGTAAGTCAGCTGATACATGTAAATGTGTTGTGTATGTAAATGAGCTGATGTATGCAAATATATCATGTATGTAAACAAATTGGTATATGACTATATTTATTGTATTTGTAAATGAACTGATAAATAAATGTTCCATACATGTAAATGAGCAGGTATATATAAAGGTATTGTGTATGTAAATGCTTGTATGTAACACACTTTGAAGTATGCTTAGCTTCTAGGACTAGAGTAGCATTAGCTACTGATTGTCTCTACTGCACAAGAAATAGCTTGTACCTTCACCAACAGGGTCTCAAATCCCAATGCTAAGTCAGAGGCTCTCTTCACTGAGCAAACCAACCTGACCCCTCTGTGAGAACATTCACACCCTGTGCAGGTGCCTTGGCCCTTCAGGCTGGCTTTTCACTGGGGACAGGAGGACTACACACACCACATGGCTTCCCTCTGTAACTATAGCTGCCCAGGCTGTTCCCCAAATGTCCTCCTCCCCGCTTCCACCCACCCACTTACTGCTGAGTTCTGCCCACGCTACTGTGTTTTCATTGTGAACAAGCCAAGAGCAAGTTGGAGGCAGCCTTGAACTGCTGGGTTTCAGCACAGCCTCCTGTCTGCCTACTGCCCATCTTGACAAACGGCCACCTTTAAACTGCAAAGGCTGACACTCATCAGGACACCTGGTGACACACTCATCCTGGCTCTAAGGGACTTTTTTTTCTTCTTCTCCCAGAGGGTAGTAGCTACCTACTTGAAGAATTCACACTGGTTGCTGACAGCCAGGTGTCCCCTCAGGCTAGTAGGATACAGCCACCACACAACTGCCCTTAGGACCTGTGGCTTGGGAAGCAGCTCGGAGTCCAGACTTCTTTTCTCCAGGTCCATGGGATTCTCTAGGGCACTGGCGACTGGCTGCTGCGGGCTGGGCACCAGAGTCTAAGGGAAATGCTGCAGGGGGTAGGGATTGATGGGTGATGACAGCCAGGACTGGAGGGAAGGCTGTCCTCAGGAAAGAGGGTGCAGTTGATAGTAGGTGTGACAACCTGTCACACAGCTGCAGTCAGATTGCCCCAGAGGGTGGAGGCTGATGGCCCGACAGGCCTATACTTATACTTCTCCAGAAACTTTCAGGGTCCCTGAGAACCCTCACGGGGTGAAGGAGATGTTTCCACTCAAAGTCTGAGTTTTCTCTCTGCTTTGGTAACATACTCAGGGGCAGGGAACCCTAAAATTAGCATCCCACAAACTTTAAGACAGCTCCCAAACAGGATGGCAGAATTAAAATGAAGCAATATCACAGCTAAGGTTTCACTCACAGGAGAAATCATTTAGGGCAATAGCTATGCTTGGCTTAGCAAGTGTCTCTCCTCTCCTAAAGATCTTTAAAGGCAGGATCTATCAGCTATCTCTCTCTCTCTCTCTCTCTCTCTCTCTCTCTCTCTCTCTCTCTGTGTGTGTGTATGTGTGTGTGTGTGTGTTTCTGGGGGCAAGTGGGTCTCCATCCTGGGAGGAGAAATCCCCTTGTAAATAGCAGATGCTCAATACATTGAGTTGAATGAGTACTTGTGTTTTCCAAGGAATAAATAAAGGTGGTGAATACTTAGGGCCCTTTTCACAGACAACTCATGAGCTGGGGTGGGGGCTGGAGTCTCATGCACAGAACTCAGAGGTGGGACAAAGAGGAGGAATGGCAGGTGACATGGGAGCTAGTCCCTGTGACATAGGCAGCTTTTTGCAGACCAACAGACGCTGGGGAGACAGAAGAGGATGGTTAAGGGTGGGAGGTACAAAGGGGCCTGCCTGCCTGTATGTAGTATCTGATGTGGCATTAAGTATTGTGGGATATTTGTGCACTGTGAAAATGTATTGCCGTGATTGGTGAAATAAAAAACTAATAGCTAGGCAAGAGAGAGAGGAAGAGGAGAAGGGATCTAGATGCCAGAGAGATTCATCAAGAGGTGGAACAAGTCAGACACACACAATAGAAGAGAGATAAGTCACATAGTAGAACATAGACTAATAAAAATATGGGTTAATTTAAGTTGTAAGAGCTACTGAGACAAGCCTAAGCTCAGGCCAAACTTTCATAATTAATAATAAGTTTCCATATCATAATTTGGAGCTGGTGGCCCAAAAGAAAGTCCGATTGCAATTAAGACTTCCTGTCTGAACTAAAAAGTTGGAAATACCAATCGAAGGGCAAGAGACCAATCCAAGAGCAAATCAAAACCCTTGTGACCCCATTGTAACAAAACCAGAATTTGGCAGGAAGAACAGAATTCTTTCAAACTGAAGTTCAGCACTAAGAAGAGACACAGAGAAAGCACACGGAGACTTCCTGCAAGCACACCTATAGGAAAGAGTCGGCATGGAAACTCTGCCTCCTACCAAAGATTTGCGCGTCTGCTCTCAAATGTCAAACTGCCCAGAAAGACACACTCATCAACTTTTATCCTTATCATCGCTTTCCAAGCCTGCGGTGGGGAGGCTGATGGGTGAGTGACACTTGGTACAGAGTCTCCCCTATGGCGGTACAGGTAAATGTCTTTCTCAAGTATTGCGTAGCTCGTCAAGTAAACAGGGATGCAGAGGTGACTTCAAGGGAGCATTCAGAGAAGAAAGGCAGGACAGCAATCACATGGTGGCTCCGTGTACTGCCAGCATGGGAGCCAAGTCTGCGTGAGCAAATGTTTATTCAGCACCTTCCATGTGTTGGGAGAGACCAGGGACACAGCACAGCCTGTTACAATCCCAGAATTCAAAGCCTCAAGGGTAATGAGGACAAATTCTACATGTAGTAGAAGACATGTATCGTGGGCCAGAAAGAGACCACAGGGACTTGTGGGAAAGTCCTTTAGGTAGAGGGAGGGGTGACACCCAAACTAGGATGCGAGTTTGATCCCCAGCTACAGTGGAACAAGCTAGCCGTGGAGGCACAGGCTTGTCATCTTAACACTGGAGAGGCAGAGACAAGAGGGACCTGGGGCTCCCTGACTAGCCAGCCTGTGGAATGGGTGAGCTCCAGGCCAGTGAGCGCCCTTGTATCATAAACCAGGGTGGACAGTTTTTGAAGAAGCACAGGTTGACCTCTGACCTCCACACACACATGCACACAGATGTTACTTAGTTAGCAGTGATTGTGTAAATGACTCCCCTTGACTTCGGCACAGGGTTTAGGAGGGGTCTCACCTGAGTATGACGTCACACCTGTTTAGGGTTTTCATTCCTGATGTTTTTGAATGCTTTCTTGTTAACTGCCTGGTTGGACTGACTCGTGCATATCTACCCAGCTTTCTCCAGGGTGGCACCTTCAGGTTGACACCCACTCCCCATCCCCCACTCTGAGATGAGCCCTCGCTTGGGACTTCACTGCAAAGGGTCTGTGCCAGAAAGGACAGGAACCTGCTGGTGGGCTGCAGGCTAGGACATCTCAGAACTGCCAGCAGTTTTCGGGGGAGAGCGGTCAGAAGTGAAGAATGATGTCACAATGTGTAAAGACACACGGACGGGAGACAGAGCCTGAATTCAGGTGTTCCTGGCCCTGCCACTGCCACCGTGGCCCTCCAGTCATTCACAGGGCTAGACAGGTTTTCAGTTGCTTAAAATAAGAAGAGTTCTAACTACTGCTGTTCCTTCCCCCCACACCGACCCATCTCTGCCCCTCGCAGGATATGACTATTCAAGACAACTTTAAGGTCTCGCTGTCCCTTGGAGGCATCCTCTATTAACAAACCAAACTCCAAAAAGACTAGGAAACACTGGAATCTCAAAATGCATGCAGTTTGCCCCTCAATCATCAAAGAAGAACGGAGAATGCGCAGGCGCTGCAGAGATGAAAGACCATGACCAGGACAGCAGAGGGTGATGTGACCTCGGATAAAGTCCCTCCCAGCATCACCCCTCCACAAAGGACCACTCCTCGTGGTATCATTCCAGGAGTCTTGCCTTAAGCAAGGGATGCTTGTGTGTTCTTTAGAGCTCCTGGAGGAACAAAACCATTTGCACGCCCCTGTGACTTCTTCCCACCAACTAACTGCAGGACACTGAGTGCAGGTGGCACATGAAAGTGTTAAAGACAGGACGAACGCACACCTCCCCTGACTGCCGCGTGCCCAGCTGTCACCATGATATGATGAGCAGCTGCAGGAATACTATGCTGTCCTCAGTAAAAAAAAGAACACAGGAGAAAACGCGCAAGGAAGCCAATTATCCTGCATAAATTCCAGTCTTTTCTGCTCCGATCAGGCAGAGTGGTGAGAACAATAATACATAGTTCTAGTTTGAGTTGTCTACCTAAAGCATGATTTTTTAAAAAACTCTTTAGAATAGCAATGCCTGGGCTCTGTACAGAAGTGGAAAAATTAATTTATTTGAGTGTACCCTAAAGTAATTTGACACTTAGAAAACAAAGAATACAAAACTGTGAGAGCATGAATGAATGGTGGAGGGAGGGAGGGAGGGAGGGAGGGAGGGAGGGAGGGAGGGAGGGAAGGAGGGAGGGTTGGGTGGATGATGATCGGAGCATGAGAAGAACATGGATGGAGGATGGGTTTATGTAGGCAAAGCAGAGGAATTATTACATATGACTGCTATGCTCTATATCTAGTATATTTTAATTTTGGAAGTTCTAGCTGCCTATTTTAGTTTGTTTTCTATATAATTTAGTTTGCTATAAAATATCTGAGGCTGGGTGCTTTATAAAGAAAATACATTTTGTTTCACTCAAAGTTTAGAGGTTTAGGATGGCAGCACCAACAGTGCCTTGTGTCTTAGGACTCCAGGTTACACCACAACATGGCACATGTATCCTAGGAGCCTAAAAGGAGAAATTAAATAGCCAAATAGGATGCCAGATAGACTTGAAGTCCTTGCTTCTCTTTACTAAATGAGATTCCAAGAGGACTCTATTAATCTGTCTCTGAAGTGACAGCCACAATGACGTCATTCCCTTTCATTAAGCCCCACCCCTTAGCCAGCCCATTAGCTCTCAACATGGCAAGACTGTGGACATAGTTTCCAGCATGTGATCTTTAGCGAGCAAACTACAGCCAGAACACAGGGCTGCCAAGCTTAGCTAACGTGCAGCTAGTGTACGGATCATTGTTCTTGGAGACAGGGAAGAAGTATCAGTCAACCAAGATCCCAAACTGTGAGGAGCTGTGAACAAGAAACCCTGACAAGGTGTGTCTACGAAGGCTGGTTGACAGATTAGAACTTCAGTGAGGCAGAGATGCTGGAACATTGCCAGTGCAGAGTCAGATTCTCTTGGGCATTGCCAGTCCCCTTCAGAGTCATTTATTGCCCTCCTCTGCAGGTGACCTGACGTCTCTGTGACCCTTTGGTAAATTCTTTGGAATATGTAAATAGAATTCTACTTTCCACCAGTCAGAAAGCTGAGGAGGCCATCAGATAGCACGTGAGGCCTATAGCTGAGATTCCCCCGCGTCTCTGTGGCACACCTACATTACACACTCACGAGTGCACTGGAAAAGATTCCCCTGCTTCTCTGTGGCACACCTACCTTACACACTCACCAGTGGCTTCTCTGAGACACACCTACCTTACACACTCACCAGTGCCCTGGAAAAGATTCCCCTGCTTCTCTGGGGCACACCTACCTTACACACTCACCAATGCCGTGGAAAAGATTCCCTTGCTTCTCTGGGGCACACCTATCTTACACACTCACCAGTGCACTGGAAAAGATTCCCCTGATTCTCTGGGGCACACATACCTTACACACTCACCCATGCCCTGGAAAAGTGTCTCGATTCATGGTTTTCTTTGTTCTGTTACTATGAAAACTTCATGGAATTTTTGCCATGTTAGAATATGGTATCTAGGGAGCCTGAAATTGTATTTTTTTGACCAGGGTCACTCTTAATTGGCTCCAGAATAAACCATCTCTTTTGTTCTTTTGAGGTGAGAGCTATTTG